ATAACTCGTATATTACTTTTGTACAATATTAACATAATTTAACACTAATTTTACGGATTTACTTAAAATAAATTACCAACGCTATTTCTACGAATTTACAGAGCTAACGTTTTATTATTTTGTCCGATTATGCCACGTTAACCTGGTGAAACAGTAAAACGTTAGCTCTGTATAAGTTCCTCAAATTAGCAAATTGCTACAAGTGAGCTTTTTCTAAATTTCGATTAGCATAGATTATAATACACTTCAAAACTGGTTTCACAAATCAGTCCAATGGGAACAAGTTTGATACATTTCGAGTAACTGTCCTTCGCCAAATAGTCAAGCTGTTACAAAATATAACTAAGGTAAATTAAGAAAATTGCAACAGTTAGCGATTAATTTACAGGTTGTACTTGAAACATAGCTAAAAAAATAGTTTTGCTATAAATTTATAGACCTTGACGTAATGAAGTTATTTTAAGTTCTGCTGAAATTCATAAATAGGTGAACATCATGTTTTGCGAAACGGTCTACCGTTTCTAATTTTTGCGAGTTAAGTAATTTTTGTACAAAATATGACAACGAAAAGAGTCAACTTTACAGTTGTGTTCAAACAGTTTAACACATTATCGAAATACATTTTTTTTCAGTATTTGTCACAAAAATGTGAAGTTCTTTAGTGTTTCTGGTTGAATCACAATCTTTGATGACTTCTCTAAGTAATTTAGTGTTCCTGGTTGAATCACAACCTTTGATGACTCATCTAAGTAATTTAGTGTTCCTGGTTGAATCACAACCTTTGATGACTCCTCTAAGTAATTAGTCTTGGATTTAATGACAAACGACTAAATTATTCCCGACACCACCCTCTTACGCATAGCGCATAATAGAATCGGTTTTTACTGAAGTTTGACCCTTTAGACCAGTGCTTCTCAACCTTTCCCAATCATTCACCCACAACAGCTCACTCAATCCAGTTCGAAAAAATACCAAAAAAAAGTACTAAATTAAAACGTAAAATTCTTTATTATGACTTAAATATACATCAAACTACAACTAGAATAAATAATAATAACTAACGACTTTTTTTTTTTGCTCTTAAATTTGTTGTATAATTGATAATACTCTCACTCATCCTTATTCTGATCTCATTAACCCTTGGGTGAGCCATTCACCCGGTTGAGAGGTACTGCTGTATTACAAACCAGCTCAGTTAAATATAACGTATTTATACCGAATTATCACGTACTTTAGAAATTACTGAATATCTTCAAAATAGTTATCTAGGAACAACTTATAAATTCTATTCACCGATAACAACGGTAACCTGACGTATAAATCAACTTGTATCTGTGACAAACAAACATCTGTATGTGTATCTGTGATCGTCTACCGTCGTCCCTAACCCTACTTTTGACTTCCGAGCACATGGATGGCAGAAGCACCCTACTACCCACGCTAAAGGAATGACTTTTATTCTTATAGCGCGCCCACAGTTTAAAAATGCTGGAAATATTTTGTGGTATTGCACAGGTTCGAACCCGGCTCGCCAACTTAAAATATAAAAACCTTAATGAAATATTAACATAATCTGGCACATAAGTATTTATATAACAGTGAAACGAGATATGAACTCGTGCCTCATATACAGACGATTTTTTTTCTCTACTCTCAACATTACCACATAAAACAAGTTCTTACATTTACCAAGACGACCAAGATTAATAAAATGAGCAGTGCTTTTCTTTAATACGTCTAAAGATTGAAATCCCTAACGTTTCAGAGTTTATAAAGACACACGACCTACGCCTTAAACCAAGGTCTAAATCATTTTTTTCACAGATCATAATTACACATGACCTAGGCCTTAAGACAGAAATTAACGTGTTTTTTTTTTTGTTTATCAAGACACACAACATACACCTTAATGTTGAAAGTGAATATATTTTAAGAGTTCATCAAGACTCAGTCTTGAGCCTTAAAATTGAATCAAAATTTTTTCAGAGTTAATCGAGACAAACGAGGCCTTAAGGTTGAAATTTAACTTTCTTCAGAATTTATCAGGGCACGTGACCTGTTTTGTTGTTGTTTACTCAGCCTGTAAAGCTGTGAAACTTACACCCTTGATCTGTAGTAAATTTCTATTACACAACTGTAACGAAATTATTTATATTAAAATATAAAAAGTGGGTGTTTAAAATGTTGCTTTAACTTATCTTAAAACGTGCGTGATGTTCAGTTCTTCCCGAATACACAGAGCAGTGACAAACTTGGTATTACTTAAAATATTTTTCCAAACCAGGTAGGATTAATAAGTTGTTCACACAGGTAAAATCACATTTTCTGATAAATTGCGTTACAGATTATATTTTAATCGCATAATGATTTTTTAAAAAATAAATCTGAAACACATAATAATACCGCCGCTAGGAGGAGCATTACACCAGAGCCTCAAAAACTTTCAATAATCGTATTATGTAATTGTTATTTTTGATCAATTCAGTACTTTATCGTTTTCAATATAATGTCCTTTTTGTATTCCCTATAAAACTGAGCTAAGGTTTAGGATGGAGAGGGGGGGGGGCTTATTATAAGTCTCTACACCTATCGCTAGGTGTGCTTGGGAATAACATATTAATAGCTCGGAAGACGGAAAATAAAATATGGTTCCCATGGAATATAATTCTAAAATATTTTGACTAACAAGCGACTCCTAATGTATTTTTGGCATCCCATGATTGAAATTAAGAATGTAAAGGCCTTCAAACACTAGCCATAACACCCCATGATTGAAATTAAGTATGTAAAGGCCTTCAAACACTAGCCATAACATCCCATGATTGAAATTAAGAATGTAAAGGCCGTCAAACACTAGCCACAACATCCCATGATTGAAATTAAGAATGTAAAGGCCTTCAAACACTAGCCATAACATCCCATGATTGAAATTAAGAATGTAAAGGCCGTCAAACACTAGCCATAACATCCCATGATTGAAATTAAGAATGTAAAGGCCGTCAAACACTAGCCATAACATCCCATGATTGAAATTAAGAATGTAAAGGCATTCAAACACTAGCCATAACATCCCATGATTGAAATTAAGAATGTAAAGGCCTTCAAACACTAGCCATAACATCCCATGATTGAAATTAAGAATGTAAAGGCCTTCAAACACTAGCCATAAAGGTTGTTCTAAGGAGGGAACTAGAATGATTCTCAAAATATTCAAGTCATAAGAAACGTCTTTTAAAGAGCTAAGTGTCATTGCGAATGCGAAGAAAAAAAAAGATGGGTCACATACAGCAAAGAAAATTCATAACGATAAAAATGCGTGGCACCCCCCCCCCCAAAAAAAAAGAACAACAACAACAAAATAAACTATTCCTGCCCTGTATCACACCGACCCTTAATCATTCGGTGATATTTATTCCAATTTACAGAATAATTACAACTATACGTTTCACAAATATTACATTTATTAGTAAACCAACGTTTCGCCAATAAAGGCATCATCGCGTAATAGCGAAACTGTTTTACTTAATTCGGTAATTAAGGAGTTTCACCGTGTACCCACGGTTTCAAGTATTAAAAATGTTCAATCCAATTTATTTTAGTGATGTTTGTGTGTTACGTGAACAATATTTTGGTAGTTTTTTTTTTTCATTATAACTGATGTTATTGTTCTTCAGCTTATCAAAGTTTATGGTGGTTGATCACTTATGTCATGTTTGTTTCACTTCATATGCTGAACAAACTCGTATACGTTTCAGCTGGTCGTTTTCCAAAAAAAAAAAAAGTCAAAGTTATCAATTACTTAATAAAATATACACGTTCATGACTACTTAAAATTGGTCATCAAGTTTGCCTTTTTGTAAAACACTCTTCTTTTTATACCCCAAAAATCATCGTGTTTAGTTAAACTTAAAGCACACACACACAAAAGAGAGCTTAATTAAACATGTCAAAAGACTAGTAACACTAGTTCATTTACAATAACGAACACCACTGTAGATCTCAATTCGGAAGTGTACTTGATACAGAAAATATAGTTCACGTATAAATATATAATATCCATTTGGATTACAATGTATCTTATCAAAATAAATTAGACCTAAATATATTTCTAACACTTTACTGTTGATACATTTTTCAACATTTTAACTTTCACAGAAATTAAGTTATGTTTACCCTAGATTACAAATGCATAAATAATAGGCCTACAAAACTTAAAATGTACTTGTTCACGGCGGTTAGAGTACTTGTCATGCCCATAAAACTGAAAATGAAAGGGGGTCTGAAGTAGTAAATACTGAAGTAACACTTACCTTGTAAACAAGTTAAAACAGATGCATTTTCTGGTTCTTTCAAATTTTATTTTTGAACTAATTGTAATATTGCATCAGAGATAATCATCAATATGAACTTTTGTTATCATCAAAATATTAAGTTTTGTAACATTCGAACAAATCAAGAAGCAATACAGCACATATAACCTTGTACTTTTGTAGCGAAGTCTGTAAAATGCATGCACATCCATAAGTATGTATTTGTGTATATGTTACACTAAAGATTACGTTTTAATCAGTGATATTTCAGCGTAGGGTACTGAAAAACTGTACTATGTGCTTTAAATGTTTACTACATTTAACTCAATAACTACCTTCTGACAAGTTACATTATCATGGCATTGACAGGCATAGCAACACAAACGAAATGAACGTACGACGCTTGCGTAATAATATTTTTGAGTATAAGACCTTTAAACGTTAATAATTTAAGAAAGTTTTATTTTATATTCTGTAAAATAAGGATAGTATTGTTATTTACGCTGTAAAAAATAACTAAGCACATGTTACTCAATTAAACTTAACAAAGCAACCTCAACCATTGGTGAACTGCATGAAATCACGTACAAAACGTAAGAAGACAAAAGTAAGTGGCTAGCACTAGCAGTTCACTGTAGCAGTTACATTACACACGTGTTGAAAAAAACAACTACAATTTGAAATACAAACCAGACTTCTTCCTCTATCTTGTAGTGATTCCATGATTCTCAACTGTCTAGTAAATTTTTGCTATCATTATAAAGTGCTTTCATAACTTTATGCCATGTGCTTTTTTTCGAAACGTTATTCCTTTACATTTCAGTAACTCACAACATTGTACCACCTGAACATCGATCTACCTTCTACTATACTTTCTGTTTCTGTCGCCTGGGTTCCGTGACGTCACGTTACCCTGATCGCGTAAAGGGAGCGTAGATAAAATTACGCAAAATATAATGACCTATAATAGCTGAAAAAAATGCTAATACTTCAGATATAAAATTGAACAAACGGCTATATATATATATATATTAAATAAATAATATTATATTTAACAAAAGATTCACAAAACAAAAAAGCTCTTGTTAGACATATTAAAAACCAAATTTTTAATTGCACGGTTATTGAGGAAAAAAATGCATGAAAATTTATCATTTCTTCGATAATAATAGCTTTTTCTTCTTTTCGCGTTAACGATATTGACACTTAAGAACTATTTGTCTCATTTCGTGAAGGTTGTAGAATCGGACAAAATGGCGAGATACAAAAATCCGGTTTCTCATTACATATTTTCAGAGACTTAAAAAAAAATGAGAGTTCTTTTAGAATATAATTGAAATTTTATATATTTTTTTACGTAAAATTGTTTATTCCTCAAACACCTTTTGAATAACACGTGACTATACCGTAACAATTATTTATTTATTTCTATTCAGTAGATTCCCTGGTAATTTATATGTGAATTTTTCGTTTCTTCGTCAAACGTGTAATTTCCGTAAAAATAAGAAATTATCCGTGTATAATTATTTGAAACGGTCGAGTCATATGTTGTTCAAGCATCTGAAGTATCTTAGGTTATTAGTGGTGAGTAAAGGACTTTACATCAAACCTACATATTGTTTACACTTTTCTACTACAAGAGGCTTAACTGTACATTTTTGGTTGGCTACTCCCAAGTGCCCCCCAATGGCACAGCGGCATGTCTGCGGACTTACAACGCTAGAAACTGGGTTTCGATACCCGTGGTGGGCAGAGCACAGATAGTCCATTGTGCACCTTTCCCATTCCCATCAACAAAGTATTTGTGAATTATTAAATCGGTCTGAAGATGAAGTTTAAATTATCATTGTACTCCAGTGAAATTTCTTACTGAGAATAAATTGATCTTACTGATCATTCAAAGCTTATAACGTAAATCGACGTTTGCATCATTTTTACATAATGGAACAGGAAGTTGTCACTTTAGGACTAGAAATTTGCCCTTGTTTATGTGATAACTGGAAATATCGTCAAATTTAACCCTTTCATACTAAATAAAGAACGTATCGTTATTTATTTATTTTCTGGTAATTTTTTTCTACATTTTTGCACAGATGTTGTGCATGCAATTAGTGACATAGGAAGGTCTAAGTTACAAATCACAGCTATCGTTCAGTGGGATTTATTCTCGCTTGATCCAACTTCTCCCTCGAGCCCTCATTTCGAGGGATGGTATAAAGACTTGTAGAGATTAGTATGAATTAGTAGTTTATCTCCCTTGAATATACACTTGGGTTTTTCCTTTCTTTTCCACGTTTGTTATAATTTCTGCATAGCTTTTCCAAATCTGTTGTATTAGTGATAGAACTTCATGTCGAGTATTAGTGTACCTGAATACAATAAGCGGATATGAGGAGGGCAAGGGGCGTTTGCACCTCCAAATCTGGTTTCCGCCCCCAAAGGTTTTTCATTTTTAAAATCTATGCAGAACCAATGTTTTTAAATGGTTCACAATTTTCTGGGGGACGTGACCCCGACCCCCTCCCCCTAGCAATAGTATGCTGAGTGTGCTTAACACACCCTGTCCAGTCTAAAAAAAGGGTTTCGATACCTGTGGTGGACACAGCACGGATAGCTCATTGTGTAGCTTTGCGCTTAACATCAATCACGCATTTAAGATTGTTATGCCGCTATCATAAAGTGTTACTCTTGATTTTATTTAATAGCTGCGAGATAATTTTAATTTACGAAGGGAGAAAACTACTAGTACTACTAGTAAGAGGAATGGGTTTGAACCAAATCCTAACGAAACTATAGCAGTTGGTTTATTCAAAATTTTCACGCAAAGCTACACAAGAACTCTCTAAGCATACTAATCCCGAATTTTGAACAGATACTTTACAGAAAAGCCAGCTAGAGAATAACCTGAACAATTCGGTCGTCACATTCTGCCTATGTCCGATGGATTGCTATATTAACGTCTGGATACATTAAGTGTGAAAACGTGTTAAACCGGAACAAATAACCTCATTGCACTGTGTGCAAAACCGCGAGGAAAAAACGAGCGTAAATTTTCGTCTTTCCCATATCCTGGTGGTAATACTATAAAACTATCTTTGTTGTCTAATATGGATTTGACAGCTATTGTCTGCTTATTTTAAAAATTAAGCCAATATTTTATTTCAACAAACTGAATGGATTCGTAACCATTCATTTTCTATATAATAATAGCCGAAATCGACACCGGATGTAGCAAAATCTACAGTTCTATGGTTCTATTTAAGCCCTCATAAATCGAATCGTAGTGAGATCGAGGGCGCTGAATTATTGTAGTTAGCCAGCATCAAGCACCAACACTTGTCTGTCCGCATAGTGGAATGTGATCATCAAGCCCCAATGTGCGGAGCGCGTTTCTGTGGCAACTGACCATGCATTAAATCATCAGATTCACTGTCCGACTCACTCAAATTATATTAAAAGAAAAATATGGAAAAATGTACGAGACGATTCGTAAGTAGTATGGTTTGTTTTCAATTTCGCGAAAAGCTACACGAGGATTATCTGCGCTAACCGTCCCTAATTTAGCAGCGAAAGACTAAAGGGAAGGCAGCTAGTCATCACCAACTCGCGGGCTACTCTTTTACCAACGAATAGTGGGATTGGCTATCACATTATAACAGTCCCGCGGCTGAAAGGGCGAGCATGTTTGGTGTGATAGGAATTCGAACCCGCGACCCGCAGATTACGAGTCGAGTGGCCTAACCACCTGGCCATGCCGGGCGGTAAGTAATATGTTAAAAATTAAGCTGTTTTGTTAATCTTAAGCCCAGCTATAGAATGGGCGATCTATGCTCTGCCCACAACGAGTATCGAAACCTGAACTTTATTTTCAACATTATAAGCTTTCAGACTTATCATTGAGCTATTGTAGGACATTTTAAACTGAAAGTGGCAGAATTTGTGTGAAGTTTGTTCAGACTATTACATTTTTCAGCAAAACAAAACGGAAACTAACGTTCATTTGTAAACAAAAAATTGTACAAAAAAATCAGTTTATAAATAAAATGCATGTATGTATGAAACAAAAACAACGTAGAAGCAAAACATTCATTTTATTAACGATTGTAACTTTATATTTAGTAGATTAGCTTGTTTGACTGTTTTTGAGTTCCGCGCTAAGTTACCCGAGGGCTATCTGCGCTAGCTGTCCCTAATTTAGAAATGATAGACTGGAGGGAAGGCAGCTAGTCAACACCACCTACCACCAGTTCCTGGGCTACGCTATATCAACGAATAGTGGGATTGATCGTATCATTATAACCCCCTTATGGCTGAAAGGACAAGCAAGTTCAGGTGGCGGGATTCGATCACACGACCCACAGAAAGTTTGATAATGTAAATAAGTTTCAGATGAATCATTTGAAACTACAACACTCAGCATCAAAAAATGTTAGAAGTATGCGTTTTTTTTTAGCCACTGGGGGGGTTGGGGGGTTGGAAACAGAATAAAGAGAAGTGGTTTTTTTAAAAAGATATGGAAATACAAAAGCTAAAAAAATAAAGAGATTCAGAGATTGACGACAGAGGAATCCAGACACCAAGATGACTGGTCTAGTATGGAAACTAGCGCCATCTAGTTTTATATGTGCCTATTTGATCGTATCATACGATAGGTTTATGTGATTCAACGGTAAGTCTTCAGGCCTACGACGGAAAAATTCGGGTTTCGATACCCGTGGTGGGCAGGGCACGGATATCCCATTGTGTAGCTTAGTGATAATTGTATTTAGGATACGGGAAGAGAAAATCTCTTGCCTTAGTCGATAGAAAAGTTTTTATTCGTCAGTCGTTGTATAAAACCTCTAAACTGAAAGATATTTGCACCATTTGTAATATATTATTACTGATTATTTGATTTTGGATATTCGCGCAGATCTGCTCAAGGCTATCTGCACTAGCCATTCCTAATTTGGAGCTGGTACAGACTAAAGAGAAGGCAGCTGATCTATAGCACCCATCGCCAACACTTGGGCTATTCTTTTCTCATCGAATAGTGGGATTTGACCTTCAACCTTATAACTAAACCACAGCTCCAAGGTGTGGAGTGTGTTTTTGTTTTTCGGTAATCGGGCGCGAACTATGGATGCGCAGATCCGTAGTCCTGCACACCAAACACTAGGCCATATTTGGTCACTTATTACTAGGCATTTGTATTTGGCGTCTGTCTAAATATTTACAAATACGTTTTGAAATGAGTTGTAGTTTATAGAAAAACAAAATTTTATTATTGGTTGACATGATAAATAAATAAGCAGATTTTAATTTACATAGTGGAACTCTAATGCGTTAACTACTACAAAACCTAGAGGAGTTTTTTAACTTCAAACAAACGAAACTAGTGTCGTAACAAAGTGGCTACTAAACTAATTCTTCTGTAACTAGTATAGAATATATGTTTAACATTTAGTGATTTTAGTGATTATAACGTTTCGACCCATGGTATCACTTCATTCTTACTGTGGGTTGAAACGTTAAAATCATTGGAGGCAGAACGTACCTATTGTAAAAGTTTTATTGTATTTTTGAAGAATATATGTTTATTCAAGTAACATTTCTAAATTGTTGCGCAGGTGTTCTAACCGTAGTTATAGAAATTCTAGTTAAAATCACAAACAAACGTAAAAAATTTTTCAGTGCAGTGGAAAATGTAGCTGCATATTTCTGCCTATGTCTTCTGAGTTATTTCACTAACTGAAAAATGACATGCAATGTTTAGAATATCACTGTGTCCAAAGGTCCCAAACTACCCACTTTACCTCACTCTACGAGGAGGCGAGCTCATCTCAAGTGGTGACACAAATACGTGTACAAATTGGTATGAGTTTGGGAGTTTTCTCTCTTATATGTGTT